TAAGTTCGTGGACCGAGGTACCACTGTACAAGGTATTAAAACAATACTAACATTTTAGATTTTAAAGTGCAAAATAGCATGGTTATTCCTAAAGTGGGCAAGGATTTTATGTTGCGTTCTAATTATAGACCTACTTCCTTGATAAATATGGAAACAGGTAGTCCTCGACTTACAACCACATTTGGGACTGGAACTTCTGTCTCTGAGCGATGTGGTTGTTAAGTAAGTCATGCCCGATTTTACCACCTTTTTTGCCATGGTCGTTAAGTGAGTCACATGGTTGTTAACTGAATCTGGTTTCCCCCATTGACTTTGTTTGTCAGAAGTCCCCTGGGAAGGTCACAAGTGGTGATCACGTGACACTGCAACTGTCGTAAATACATGCCAGTTGCCAAGCCCCAAATTTTGATCATGTGACCGTGGGAATGCTGCTATGGTCATAAGTGTGAGGACCAGTCGTAAGTCACTTTTTTCAGCACCGTCATAACTTTGAATGGTTGTTAAATGAATGGTCATAAGTCAGCAACTACTTGTACTAAATTTTTAAGAGCCAGCACCATCTTTCCAACCACTGTCTCTCCAACTTGAGTTGTATGGGGCTTTTAAGCTTCTGACCATATCAGGTTTAGAATCAAAGTTCTGGCTTTCATTCCAAGTAGATAAGCCTGTTTTCCGTGGAGAAGGAGTTGGAATGGCCTTCTTTCAGCAGAAGTCACTTTGTCTTGCTGCTCTGGTGCTTGATAAGTTTGTTCGTTTGATTTCCTGTTTAGCAAAGGCTTTTACAATGTAATCCAGTGTTTCTCAATTTCAGCAGCTTCAAGATGTGCAAACTTCAACTCCCAGAATTCCCCAGCCAGTGCTGGCTGGGGAGTTCTGGGAGTTGAAGTGTACTCATCTTAAAGTTGCTGAAATTGAGAAACACTGATGTTGTCTCTTGACACAAAATTAGCTATGAAAGCACGAGATACAACGTTAATCTCCTTTTTGGATTCTCAGAACCCAAATGAAGTAAAAATGGATCATAAGCAAACCACCTTATGGTTGGTTAGCAGAATACCTCTGGATTTGGGGTAGTTATTTGTTTATCTACGATATCTGTACAGGGCCAAACTCCACCAAAACTCATAGCGGGGCCCATTTAAAATCAATCACACTAAACAATTCCACGTGGCAATGTAATTCAAAACTAAAACTCAATAAAATTGCCCTTCAACAATAGAATTAAAACTAACGTAAGAGGCATCAGTCATCACAATTTCGCTTCTGAATTTGCTCTGTAAGCAATCATAGAAAGTAAAAACGGTGGCTAACAGCTCACAGCATTGTTGGGAAGTTTGCCTGTCCTCTCTCAAGAAAAAGAAAGTTAAAACCAAGATAAAAGTTGGTAAACGGCATCTCGAGGAAGCCAGAGGGCCTGGCAAAGGACAACCTCAAGCATTTGCTCTGTTGCATTCTGTTTTCCTGCCACTGTGTAGGAATGTCACGTAGGAGAGTTATCAGGAGATCTTCTCAAAGCAGGAAGTGATGAGGCTAACTAGTCCATTTGCCAGCTGAAGAAATCCAGGGAATTTTTCTTTTTAAACCCCACTTTCAAGTTTCTGAAAAGCCCTTCATGAAAAATTCAGCAGGACCCGCGGGGACAGGAAGTGGTCACCAACGTTGCTCTGTTAACGCTGGATGGAAGTTTCTATTCCTGCCATTCAAGCACACAGATCCAGCTAAAGACAGTAGAGGATTCGGTCAAAGAAAGTATTGAGAATGGTGCGCGTGCAAGCATGTGTGGGTGTGTTGGAATAACCACCCCCCTTCCCTAATCTTCTATCCACCAGTTTCTCCTGAAAAGCCTAAAAAAAGTGTCATTCTTTTGACCCTCTAAAAATAGCAGTTATATGAAATCACAGCAAATGGCATACAGTGAAATGCCCTGATTGATTCTTAAAAGCTGTGTTTGTTTCAGCTGAAAGAAGGAGGATACAGCTAGTAGAGAATAGATGGGAAAATTGTAGAAGTTGTTGGAGGTCATCTCTTGGCATCCATCACAATAGCCGAGCTGGCTAAGATTAGAAAAATGGGAGAAACTGGGGTTTTTTTGTGTTTAATGGCAGACTTATTTATTGATGCCTTTTTGTACCCAAAAAGTAAAAGTGAATTTAAGGCACATTTTTCTGAATTTTGCAATGCAGTTCACCAACACTTTTTAAAATAACTTAGGAAAAAGTCTATATCAAATTCATTTAGTCATGATAGAAATGTACAAAAGATATTGATATGAAGAGCAAAATTGCAAACCAAAATGTGTATATTGAGCTGAAGGTGCACAGTACAGATACAGATTTTAGTGCAAACTTAGGGAAAAAATCTTCATTTAAAGAACCAAACTTAACATAGTTGTAAAAATAATAAATTGAGGAAACCTGAAATGGACAGTCAAGATGGCTTGCAAATAATTATACTTCAGCAACATCTGGAAGGGCTGTAGATTTTCCACTGGTAGGTTAGAGAATAAACTGAAAAATTATAATGGGAGAAGCAGTTTATTTTACAATATTGAATCTGTATGTCACCATTTCCTACCCCACATTGCCTCTTTCCAAATGTACGATGACCCTCGAACTGGTGTTTTGACTTCAAATAACAATCATGTCATAAACACTCGTGCTTATTGATCTGTGATCTTGAAGTGCTGTAAAGAAATATCACATTACAAAGTGCTTTCAAAATTTTTCCTTGGCTCTTGGAAGGCAGTTGAAAGACAAGCCAACGTTTAGACTTGAAATACAGAATTGGATCCTGAAGGCATGGAGGACAATATTTTGTATTTTGTTTCCTGTGATTTTCTGTTTCGAAACTATGCTGTGCTGGGTGAAAATGGTCCATGGATTGAAGTGGTACAGAATGGTATGTTGGTCCAAATTCCTATCCACTTCTCAAGACTGGGGGCAAAATGATTTCATAAATAGAGTGATAAATAGGGGAATTAGTAACAATTTGGGGCAGTGACTTTTCTGGAGTCAGAATGGTACAGGAGAAGCACTTAGATTCTCAGTATCTTTACAAAAATAACAATTGAAGTGACATTCATGAAGTCTCTCATACATGTGAAGAAACCACCCACTGTTGACAAGCCACTAGAACTAAATTCATACAGCAGTGAAACTGTAGGACAAGCCTAAGACAATTAGGCTTTGCACAGGGGCCTTGAGTCGTACAACAGGTTGGTAGGGCAAGTTGAGAGCCACGTTGCAAAAGAAGGTGGAAGCAGGACACATTTGGGGAGGAGGTTCAACAATGTGAAGGGGGGAATGGGTGCCTCAAGCTTCTGCAAGGGCGAAAGCACCCATTTTGCCCTAGTTTTCCCCCAAGAGCTGAGCAATGCAAAAATAGTATTGTGATGTTTAGCCCTACTCGGGTTTGGTCTAGGAGAGAGAGAGTTAAACGATGCTGAAATGTACTCTTATAAACTGGGAACAGCTTTGAAACTGCACTGCTAGATTTCCCCACCTGCAAGAAAAAAAAAAGAGTGCTTTGATTTATCGGAGGGGTGGAAGTAGGACCAGTAGCCAAAAAACAGTTGTTGAAAAACAAGAAGTTTTAACATGGTAACCCAAGGAGTGACAAGCATAGCTTTAAAAAAAATCTTTGGAAAAAGAATATCCTTCTCTCCCTATGCCTGTCCCTCCTGTCCCTCCCCACAAAAATATCCACCCCATTGAAAATTGGGCATGCTCAGTGTTTGCTGCAGAAAATAATGGAAAACTCCAGGAGGCAGAAGTTTTCACACTGACCAAGAATTCTTCATGTTGTCTCATTTTGTTACTTGTCCCCTTTTTAAGAATCTTGTTCAAAGCACAAGATTTACTCTTCTGTGGAGTCCTTGGGGTTCTCTGAGCTTGGTTCTTTTCTTGCAAACGTTTCATTACCCGGCTAGATAACATCAGTGCACAGGAGCACTGAAGGAGCACTGAAGATGTTACCTAGCCAGGTAATGAAACGTTTGCAAGAAAAGAACCAAGCTCAGAGAACCCCAAGGAC